ATTATCATATATTAAGCTCTTATATAGAAAGAGGTTAAACAATGCATTAAATATGAAGTATAGAGAGAAAATAATAGGCCTGTAGAGTAATTCTCTAGTATTCTCTTATCGAAATTTTGGAAATTTGTCAGCATTTATCCTCATCATCTTGATTTACATTATGAAAAACAATTTAAGTCCATTCTTGTCTTTTAATTCATTTATGTTTTTAGTTAATTAAATGTATTAAATTGCTAAGAAAAATCATTTAAAAACTGTAGTTTAATTAAATTCTTTATATTAAAAGATTAAGAATTAAAATAATAAATGGAAATAAAAAGATAAAAATTTTAATATGAGGTAAAAAAAAAAAAGAAACAACTGACTAAAGAATAATGTTGTTAATTTAATAATAATGTCATTAAGTAAATTAAATCACTTAAGTCATGGCTAATTATCTTTAATTTGTTCATCAAAAATAAAGTTACAATATATAAGCTAATTTCTCTACTGGGCCTTAACTCTAATAGACCATAACTCGATTTTGTAAGTGGCTATTTAAAAGCCGAAATATGACAATCGACATTTAAGAGTGAACATTTTAAAGATCCAAAACTACTGTGTTATCGTTAAGCTATTTTATATTTAACTTTAGTATTTAATCAAGGTTTAAATAGTAAAATAAATTTAGTTTATTTGATTTTAATGTAATTGAAATTACATTAAACATGTCGAACATTCTAATATTTTATCTGGGGAGAATTTCTAAGTACTATGATTAATTTCTCGAGGTTTATTTAAATGAAAACATTGAATGTAATAGAATTTTAAATGGTATTTTTGAGAGTGCATCTTATAAGTAAACTTAATAAATGATAAAAATGATAAAGAAGAAGTAATTACCTGCTAAATCTAGAGGCGGTGGATAGGCCAATCCCGATCTTAATAACCATTGGAGGCTAAATGGTTGATGGTTCTTTAGTTGATCAAGAAGTGGACGGCCCGTGCAGGGAGAGTCTTGGGACACACCCGAATTGTCAGCGTGAATGTCCAGAGGCGGGTGTATCCCACCCAAAGGATGGGACGGCAGCAAAGGTAAGAAAAAATGGCCCGGGTTGGTTGTACCTGCCAAAGGTAAGACTAATGGAGCCACACCGTAGGATCTGGTAGCGAACTGTGGGCCTGCTGATTGGAAGGCAGCACTCGGAGTGTCACCTGTCCTGCCGTACACGGGGGCCACGCCGTACATACCTGAAGGACTAGATATACCTGCCGGAGAAAGGGGACAACCTGTAGATTCTTGTTCCCCCGACTTAGTGACATCATCTTTGGCTAAGAGGGCATCTATCCCAAACGACTTTGTCTTCATCGCCGTCTTCATGGTGGTCTGTCGTCTGGTAAAGCCGAGTTAGGCCTAGCAGCGGTGTGTCGATCCCTATTGGACGATTGGCTGTTGGAAAATGCACCGATTGGACGAAAGACTTTGCTATAATAGCACGACTGAGGTGTCTTAAATTGGCTGCTAACATATCAATTGCGTGTTGACAGCATCAGAGAAGAAAATACCAGTCGATAAAGCTTTTGTCGGAACTTCTCCCCGCTACTATACACGACACAAATGCTAACTGATGCTGTTGCCATTTTCCAGTTCCGCTTTGGCTATTGATAACACCGCCTACCTGACTATTTCCTATAAACTTTACTCCCTCAACCGATTACGCGATTTTTCAAATTCTTAAGGCCTTTGTTATTCTTTACACCATCAGTTTAAGGGAATAAAACTTGACCTAGCTTTATTTATATTTATTTTCAATCAACACTCGAACGGATGCGGCAAACAGAAACAATGCAATCGAACAATTAATTAAGAGAAATTTTTAGTTCTCCTACTCTTGCCGATCACGTTAAATTTAAGTGGTATTTAATGTTTCTTACCTCATAATCTGGAACGTAGCTTGATAAAGAAATTGGGACTTTACTCGGGGCTATTGATGTAAGTAAACGTGTTCGGACTGTAAGACATCCGGTATGATCTCGTCAGCGAATTATTAATGTAACCAATTACAGTTGGTAAAGTCTCCAGAGATCGTTTTCCTAAAAGCTGTCTTTGCCAATCTCCTAATGTTGTTTTTTTGTAAACTAGATTTCTTTCCAGGTCCTAATCGATTGGGACCTCATACGTCAAGTTATAGGATATATTTATTTATTTGATGGATCTGTATCCGTATCTTTTGGAGGATGTTGCATCAAAAAGGCGGGTCTTTCAGTGTAAAGATTCTACTAGAAAAATCTCCTATTAAAATATTTGTTTTGTAAATCGAAAAAACGTATTTCGTTAAGTGCATCTATAACAGATAATAGTGTAACATCTTATCTGATATTGATATTGTTTTATTACTAATAAGAAATAAAATAATCGTTAGATATGTGTCTATTTTGAAAACATTTGTAAAAACCCGGCTTTTATTTCGTGGCCTAAAAAAATAAATAAATAAATTATATATTTATACGTCTCGATAAATATTATTATTATATTCGGCTTATTTTATTTTATTTTTATACGGGAAATATCGCTAAAACTATAATTGTCATCCCTACCGATACAATAAGCGAAACGAATAAAGAGAAAATATAATTTTTGATATTTTAAACAAAATTAGTACCATTCTACCCCCCTATAACACTGTTGATAATTCCGTTTTATATGAATTCCATGTTGTACGAGTCAGTTAGATTTTACAAATACGTGAGCCATTCTCAACCCAGCACACGTATTTGTAAAATCTAAGTGACTCGTACAACATGGAATTCATATAAAACGGAAAATTCAACAGTGTTATGGGGGGTCGACTGTACGTAACTTTTCACAGTAAACTCTTCAAAAAGCAATAATATATTATTCATGACGATAAAATGTATTTATTTTTAAAATGTAATACTTACGTAATAATTTATTTAAATTTAATTACTAATTTAATTAAATTAACTAATAAAAATAAAGTGACTCATGTCTTACAAAATCTAGTTTCTATCTATTACTCTATAAATTTTGATAAGTTAACTTATTCTTACGCAAGTCTCGTTTAAGTTGACACACGATAGATTGAAAAACTGATAAGAAATTATCTTTAGATAAACTAAACAATTTATAAATGTACATAAAATTCATTTGAAAGTCCATTCAGGATCGCGAATTTCTTCTTACTTCAAACATGTCACATCATCGTTATATAGTGGTAAGATTTTTATCTTTATTAATTTATGTTTTAGCTGAATATTGGTAAGTTAATACAAGTTTTTTTTTACAGTTTCCCGACGATTACAAAGGATACAGCGTAAACTTTTTCTGTATTCCTAAACATTACGAAGATTCTTTAGAATGTATTCTAATACCATCTGGTATCGTACAAGACAGGTTTGTTATACTTTTTATTTATTATATTAAATCAAATAAAGTTTATGGATTAATGTTAAATAATAATAAATTTTATGTAATTATTATCTCAAATTACTTTTCGTGTATGTTTTTCATTATAATGAATTTACTGTATCGTGTATAGAGTAGAAAGATTAGCGAGAGATATTGTAGAAGACTTCGGACACGGACAAATAGTGGTTCTATGTGTTTTGAAAGGAGGTTATAAATTTTTTACGGATTTATTAGACAAAATGAAACTTTTCGTTCAAGATAAACTCGTTCAAATAAAACTCGATTTTATTCGATTAAAGAGTTATGAGGTAAAATACAGTACTTTATTATCATTATTATTATTTTGTTTGTTGCTGATTTAACATACTTTTAAAACAATTATCTTCAGGACGATCAATCGAAAGGTACTATCGATGTAATTGGAGGTGATAATCTTGATTTAGAGGGAAAGGTACTGTACATACGTCGATTTAAAAGTTTTCTATTACGAACCGTTTAGTTCGATAATTATTAAAAAAAAAATTGTTAGGCTTAACATCGATGAAAATTCAACGAGAAGTAGATTAATAGCGATATACTAATTACATGGAATATACTAATATACTATACTAATAATGTATTTTTTTATACTTTTCGATTATCCGTTTTTTCAGTTATCCGACCGACCCCAGTCCCCAATTGAGTCGGATAATCGATGCTCTACTGTATTTAAAAACTGAATCCTTAATAAATATAAGAATTGGAGTTTTGACTCTGAAAATCGAAAAACTTTCCAGAAACAAATATCTTCGCATTACAACATCATTCGAAAAAATCCAGAACGGAAGAAACATGGCGGACATACTGTATGCTGCATGCCACATTTTAATATAAACTTTTAATGTGTTGTTTTTAACACTTGACCATTGACTTCGGAGCTGTGCATAAATTACGTAACGCAGATATGAGTGAGTGGGTATGCATCTAATCGTCGCTTAGGGATTGAATTGCCAATAAACGGTTTACTGCTTCACCGGCAATCAGATAAAAAACCCTGTATCGGTNATTTGACATTTCGTGTTGTGAATAATGAGAAAAATTCATGTTTATAATAGCAATGGCTTTTGTTTCGTAGAAAAAGAGTTGTTGTATTATTCTTTTCCTAGAATATTGAATCGCGTTAAAATGTTTAATGTGTCTTATCAACTAATATATTTATTATCGTTATTTCAAACAATCCTTTCAAATAATTTATGTTTAATAAATGTAAGATAATTTTTATTACTATAAATAATTTAATTAAATATAGGCCTACTTAGATTATTATTATTATTTATTTTTTACAAAAATTCTTGATAAACATCTGCTTATTCACTACAAATAAAATTAAGAATTTACAATTATTATTATTATTATTATTATTATAAATTTTGTAATCAAATTTTTAAACTGTATTTTACTTTAAAATTTTATTAAGAAATTTAAATTATTTGTGTTTTTATTTCTACACTTTCAAATAACTTAAACAATTAAAACATTTTAATATTATAATAAAGCAATATATAATGGTATTATATTTTTTTACGCTCTTTAATCTATATAAAATTATATTTAAGTATGTAATAAAAATCTTTCCATAATGTCAATCAATCGGATTTTGTTGTACTAATATACTAATATAAATATTTTAACTGTTGTTGGTGGTAATAAATCTTGCTGATGTCGTTAGCATCACACAAAAGCTTTTGTTACTTTGTTATGAACAGTTTGGCATTTGTGATTGGAGATAAATAAGATGTAATATGTTAAAATTAGTTTATATTTTATTTATATGAAAGAGAGGAAGAATGAGAATGACTAAAAAGATCTATTAACCTTATTGTTGAAAGGATAAATTGACTTTTTTACAATAGACATGCATTTGCCTCATTTTGTAAATTGCAAATAGCATTTCGATTATTTTTCTACTTCGATTACTGTTTAAATATATCTCATCAAATGTGTTTAAAATGAATGAATTAATTATAGATATTCATAAATATTTTAAGAAGATTTAAAAATTTTATTTCTTGGATAATCTTAAAATAAATAATTAATTATATAATGTCTATAAACTTTAATACTTAACTAAGATATTAACATTATTTACAAAATTTATGCCTTTCTGTAAACTCATCTTCGCTCCCCAAACACCTGAAGTAATTCCGAATATCTCGTTCGAAAGAAAATTATTTTCTTAGATAGTGTGCAAAATTTCAAGATTTTCTGCAATACGGTTGCCGAAATATAAGCAATTGAAAAGTACAAAAATCGCCAAAAAAAAAACTGTATTTTCTTCATTTTTCTTCATCCAGCACTGCAGACTTTCGTAGAGTAAAACTACTGGGTCTAAAAAGCTCAAAATTTTAAACTTAAACCTTTCTTGCTGTCTTAATTTTAATATTATTAGTTTTAATATTAACTTTTTACTGCTGCATTTTCGATACCGGATGCTCATTACATTCGATGGCGTGTTAGAATCGAGAAAGCATTGTATTAGAAGAAGACTTAAATGCAATACTCATACGTAGAAACAGTCGACTGGAACATAAAATGATGTCACTTTTAGTCGATTGGAATACAAATTTTTGCCGTGGAGGAAAATTAACTTAAATATTTTGTTTTCCGAGGATTTTAATCAATTTTAATCCTTATATACCTGACAGAACATTATGACGTGGCGTCTGTGTATTAATTTAAATACCATCTGCTTGTTTATAAATATATTAATTTTATTTTTATTATTTTAAATTATGGGCAACATCTTTTATTTATTTTAAAAATGTTTAAAGATAGCAATTTAAAACACATGTTTGAATTAGTTCTATAACGAAAAAATTGCTCACATGAAAGATCTTTTTTTTAACAAAAGGCAGCCGAAATTGGAGCTTATACCCTGTCAGTTGACGAACTGTAAAATTAATATATTACATACGAGAAAACAAACACAAACATACGAATTAATTTGTCTACAGAGAGGAGGAAAACTCCAATTCCGGCGATTAAAAAGAGGTCTGTATAATGTGGATNTTTTTTTTTTAATAATTTAATTTCTAAAATATAATTGAATGTATAATATAAAGTTTATAGTATAATTACTGTAATTTTTTAGCAATAAAATTGATAAAATGTATGTATTTAAGATTAAATTAACAGCTTTACATTTGTGAGTTTGAAATATTTGTAAATAACTTATATTTAATAATGATAAGTTATATATTTTTATTGATCCTCAATGGCTTAGCTATAATTTAGACTTCTCTGCAAAACATATTCTTTACCAATCTATGAAAAATAGAAATCGTAATTTTTTTTTCAATACTCTTTATTAATATTGCATGGAAAAGCTTTATTTAACGATCTTTATTTTATTATAATATATGTAATTTTAAGAATATTTATATAAATTTTTAAACACATTATACTAACGCTCTGTATTTCTGGTTCTGCTTATCCTAGTTATACCGATCGTACGGTATGTCATAATATATGGTCGAATCTTCTTTAGAGAATTATTATTATAGTTAAACTCTCATTAGAAATATCGAATGGACCACCGAATTACTATTCGGTGGTCTATTGAATCAACAGGTTTTTTTTCCTACTGCACAAATATCAGTTTTGTTTTGTCTTGCCAATAAATTCTAGCATTAATAAGCTATTGTAAAAGACATAAATGGAAAATAAAGATAATAAATAATTATACAAGATATAAGTTTTGTATTATTAATTTCAATTGCCGTTCAATGTTAATCGTTAGACTTGCGTAGTGTGCACTGTGAGCTTGCATATGATATAATTTATTATACGATAAGTAAACTGTGAATGTGGATTATAGTTTTAATGATAATATTGATATTGCGACTGCATAAAAATATATCTGTTGTATATATTCGATAAATACAATAGATGGTAAAATCTACCAACATACTTTCCGTAGCTCTTTTTCCGTGGGTTGCATAAAATATACAGTAAAACCTGTGTAAACCGGAATCGCACGATACGATACATTATTTTCCAGTTTGGTAGATTTCCGTTTTGAACAGGTTCTTTATTCACATAGAAAATCATTCCGTTCCAAAGAATTTTTCTGTTTAGGCTGGTTTCCTTTTGTACTGGTTTCACCTTACATTGTGTAAGTTAGGTAAATATTTTAACATTAACATAACGAGAAGAAAGAAATACTTATAAAACCCAGAATCTGACAATTAATTACTATACAAATATGGGTTTTCCATATATCTTGTGTCCCGTTGCACGTTAGAATAAGCCTTGGGAATCAGTTTTCTTCGCTATTGTTTGTTGTTGAAATTTGACAAACGATGTCTTAAATAAAGAATCTAATCATTTAAACGCATATTATGAAAAGATTCAAGACAGAAAAAAAAGAAAAAAAGGTTTAGTACATACGTTTGAATCATAACAGAGAAATCTGAATGATGAAATGTATTAATGTGCATCATAAATATTGAAGAATTTTTATATTATATTAACAATGTTCGAATAACAATATTAGCTTCAATAGATCTAAATTGTAATAAAAATTCTCAAATATTGGAAAAAAAATTTTGCATTATATTTATGAATTTAATAAATATATAATTTTTAATGTTTTATTTCTTATCGATATCACATTAAACTATCTGTATAATTTTTTATAGCTTAAGAATTATAATGATAATAAATTAATATTTAATATTAACTGTTATATTTATTATTTCAGCATATATGCGTCGTCAACGATTATGGAAAGAAGAAATTTGGTTCAAAAAAAGAAATCACAACAAACAAACAATAACTTTTCTATGAACCTACTCCTCGAAAAAGTTTTCATTCATTTCTATCATTAAATTATTATATATCTATAAATATATTTATAACATAAAATGTAATACATTATAATAATAATAATAATAATACTTTATTCTGTTTCCTTGATCTTATATTTTACATTTTATACAAAGCTGCTCAAAATAATCAACGAACGAATCAATAATAAGGAATGTTGTAATGTCTATTTACGAAATTACAACGAAATTGATGTTTTATATAAAATTTCATAATCAGACATATAAAAACAATTTTATTAAATCTACTGTAAACAAATTACTACATTGTAGGATACAATCTGACAAATATCTTTAGTAGAGCATGTAACACCCCGAGCTGCTAAAACAGAACATATCTATATGAAATAATAATATAAATCAAATCAAATAAAAATTTAAATGTAAAAATATAAAAATTCATGAATCAGACTATCTACTAAATCTTTTTTGAATCATTTTCGTTGTCAATAATATTAACAACGAACACGATCAAAATCAGATTGACAGAACTAAAGTTTCATTTTACTTAAAATTGCTTTTATTATTGCAATTTTTATTTTATTAATATATCTGATATCGAAATAATAGTTTTGAATTAAGCAAATGCATACGTTCAGTTGTATCATGCTGAATTTGCCTACTCATATTGGGGAAAACTGGGTTTGACGTTTAATA